ATGAACCAGCGAACGCACAAAACACAATCATGCGCCATTTCTGTTTTATTCGCCCCCCCCCTTCCCCCCGCCCAAGAAAAAAAAAAAAAAAAAAAGATCAATACAATTTCTTACCGTTGCCAGACTGTACGCTTTTCAAGTCAATCTCCCGCCAAAAATCCGTGAGTGAAAAGGCGCTCGGCTTTAACAGTCCGCGCATCCGCAGATAAGGCCCGGATTGCAGGAATGGGTGTCGTGAAAGGTTGGTGACAAGAAAGGTACACGCTCGGCGGGCGAAAATCGAGATTCGGTCCGTCGTGTCAATCGGCTATAAGACAAATCCACCCGGTTGAACCAACTCTGCCCTCATTTTTGTAAGGAAATTACATTACTTTTGCCTCCAGCCAATCAGACGTGAAAACGTCACTTCCGTGTACTTTTACAAGAAACCTGTACAATGTGGAACCTAGGCATCCTGTACAAGCAAGATGACACCATGAGTGGTCTGCATTGCCTGGCTGATCCCGTGCTCACCTAGGGGCGTAGGTCTTTAAAGCTGTATACATGGGCGTTAGTAGGTGGCGCGGTTGCGCTCGATGACAGTGTCGCTGACGATATCCAGATCAAGTCGATGAAATCAAACTTTTGACTGCTGATTGTTCAACGGATAAGCCGCGGCTTGCCGATGACTGCGCTCCAACATGATGAAGCAAGTCACCACACACCGGAACGAACGCGGTGTATCTTGGAATGAACTCCTGTGCCCCGAACTGGAAGATCAAAACCTGTACAAGCAAGATGATAACATGAGTGGTCCTCATCGCTGACTGATCCCGTGCTAATTCAAAGGGCATAGGTCTTTCGAGCTGTATATTAAGGCGAAAGCCCTATACGTCTCATCTTTCAGTCGACCTTGAAATTCCTTAAGCGAAAACACGTCGGCGACACGAAAAGTACAAAAACACGTTGGCGACAAGAAAGGTACCGAAACTAAAAGTGCCAATGAAACGCCGTCAAAAGTGCGCCGTCAGAAAGCGGGCTGTCTTCGGAGGTTTGCTATCACCGGGACCAAAACCGACGCCACGATCTGAGTGAGCCATTGAGATGACGCCAAAAGTTCGTCGTCACAAAGGGCGCTGTCTCCGGAGGTTCACGATCAACGGGGACCACAACCAACGCAACGATCAGAATGAGCCAATGGAACGGCGCGAAAAGTGCGTCGTCAGAGAGCGCACTAACTTCGCAGGTTCGCTATCACCGGGACCACAGCCGACGCCACGATCCGAGTGAGCCAATGAAATGGCGCCAAAGTCCGTCGTCAGAGAGCGCTGTCTTTAAGGGTTCGCTATCACGTTTGCATCGGCGCTTGGGTTTTTCCATTCAAGTGGTCTTAGGGATGACATAAGAGAACCTGTAAATTTTATGGGCGTCAGTAGGTGGCGCGGTTGCGCTCGATGATACTGTTGCTGACAATATTCAGGTCATGTTGACAAAACAATGAACTTTTGGCTGCTGATCATTTGACGGATAGGCCACGGGTTGCCGATGATGGGGCTCTCCAACACGATGAAGCAAGTAGACGGTGACCGGAACGAACCCCGGGAATGATCTCTGGTGCCGCGAGTTGGAGGGCCAAAACCTGTGGAAGCATGGTGACAACAAGAATGGTCCGGATCGCCTGGCTGATTCCGTGCTCACTCTTGTTTGTGATATATGAATAGGTTAGAATAGGATACGACTTTCTAACTGGTCGCGCGCTCCCACGTCACACCTGGCCGCGTGCGACCAGTTAGCCAGTTAGATTTCCGAATAGATGGGATCGATATCAGAAACTAGATACCCGGATATCGGGAACATATGTCGACATCAGAAACATGTGTTCTCATCGGAAACACATGTTTTTGTAGCGATTAATTATTGGGCTAATCGTGTACACTTTTACTACTACTGTGCTAACACCTCCTGAGACGCTAGCTCATCTTGATGTGAAGACGCGAGCTGAAGTGCAACTGATATTTGAAAATAGACATCGTGCACTTTTTAATTGCATTGCCACGTGCCATTCCAGCCAATACAGCGCTGCAAACGTGTCACGTGACCGCTCATCCGCGCCTCGCTGGGCCGTTTTTGAAGGCTATTCGACACTAACACGTTACGAAATGAGCTCTACTGTCCATCGTAAGGTAAAAAAGAAAAATATAAAACAGAACGATTTATTTATGTGCACATTTTCAAGAAGCGATGGTTGCGCGTACATACTTTTAGTTAAAGCTAAGGGAGACAAGTGTGCGGGAACTTATAGACCTTTCCACAGGCATCCTCAAACGAAGCAAATTACAGCGCGCGTCCCTTATTTTGAGAGTGTAAATCAGTGTTCCCCGACCGCGCTGGGAAGTGGGTTTTCTCGTCAGTGGGCTGTGGTAGCGTTTTAAGGCGCCATTCCGGACACGAGTAACGTGTAACTTCCAGCGTTTTGTTTTTGTGTTTTATGGTAAATAACATTTTCCGAGGCTTTAGAAAACAAAAAAACATTGTACTATTTAAAAAAAAAAATTAAATCTATTCTTGGTGAGTCCGTGTGCGATAGAAAAAATGCAACTGCAATATTTGTTTAATTTGATGGAACATTTTTACGACGCCATACACCCAGCCGTGTCATTCTGCTAAGGTCTTAACTGTCGAAAATATTTGAGCTCACACAATAAGCAAAATGCATGGGTAGTCCCCGCTCACACATAAAATTCAACAGGTCAAATGAATGGAACAGCATATTGTACGTACCCCACTGTGCCGCGTTATTTGAACAGGATTTATTGAAGAAACGTCCCGAATATCACAGCACATGCAATATACCGTGTCGACGAGAGTCACTTCATGGCGATCGGACGCAATACGGCTTGTTTCGGAGCACGTTTTGAAGAGATCACCTTTCTTGCACAACGCCAAAGCAAATGAACGGAACTGTCTATTCCGTCCCCATACACCAGACACGATAATATCAGCTATTTTTCGCAAAGATCGGGAACATAGCCGGGAAAGCTTTCCGGAGTTTATCTCTACGGAAATGACCCTCAAAGGAAGTCGAACGGCCTGCGTCGCGGGCTGCTTGACGTTGGTTGTCTTCGTTCGTTTCCCGCGAAGCCCGAGCAGGCCACGTGCCCTTGTATTCCGCGGGTCTCACAGTCGAAAATAACAGAAAAAGGGGAGGCATCTTGAACAGGTAAACAAGGCGAAAACCTTTAGGAAGAGCCTGCGAATTCTGAATGCACAATGCAGTTGGGAATTCGAGGTGACCGGGTTCCCACAGCTCAGGCGGGTGGCAGAAATTTCTGGCTGATACAGCACGTTTTAGTCGCAAGATTGTGGCGGCCACGTAGCTCGTTTTGCAAAGGTCTATAGCTTTGACAGATGTCACTCGTCATTGACCGCATAACCAATCTATTTTTTTCTTAGTGTTAATTTGGTGCATATTAGGGCTTTTGAGTTCCGATGCTAAGGGATAAAAAAAAATCTATTTCGCATTTGAAACGGACTACTGGGTGGACCCTCCCCCAGAAGGTGCAAACTTTTCCCAAGATAATGTATGGTGCAATCTGCAAACGGGCACTACCTCGCTGCTGCCTAAAAATATGTTCACCCTCTCAAAAAAAAAAAAAGAACTTTGTTTCTGAAAGTTTGAAAAAAGCTTCCCCAATCTTGGGGCGCTCAAATAGCAACAGGCCTTTTTGACTTTACAGGCATGCGTAGTTGTAGGAGACGCGTCTGCTCATGACTTTGTTGACGCTTTCGGTTATGAGAAAAAGTGTGGAGAGGGGGCAGTCCAGCGTTTCAATATTGCACCACGCCGTGATTTTTTTCCACCTTTGTTCTGAACAACAATAGAGATGTAGTAGGTGGTTAAAGCGTCTCAGAAGGCTATGAAAACCTCGATTGATTTGAAGAAAATAGTGCCGAACATTTGCTGAAAATAGGGTGCTTTAGCGGAGAAAGCCCGTCCAGGCGGCCAAACCGACGCAGTTCACCGCGATGCTCAAGATGCCGGCAACGCTAAGTTCGATGTCTAGACTTGGACTCAGCTTCAAGGCTCGCGTTTGGTTGCAACGTTTTAAATGATTTCGCCAAGTGAGGCTCTCCCGCGCCAGATTGCAAGAAAGGACGAATTTGATTGATACGACACACTGTCAAACCAGTGCTCGACCGGGATTGCGTGCATGCTCTGTACATGTTTTTGAAAAAGACGGATTGCATTTGTAATCATCTGAATGCTGAACGGAATGAAATACCTTGTCTTGTAACTCTCCGATTAATATTATTTTGAAATTCTTGTCGAATACAAAGATCTGGTTCCTCTGTGTTGGAAAGCTTGTATTTATTTATTTTTGAAGTGATAATGACGCCTCTGCCAATATTTTAAAGAACGTTACATTTCTGGGCATGTCGGAAAAAAGTGTCACGCTAACAAAAAATATTTAACAACCGCAAGAAAAGCTCGACTGCTGTTCCACAGTTTTTAAGAAGTGGTTGCGACTAGCCGCTTTTATGCTTAAAACGTTACTCAAAAAAAAAATATTACAGGACAACCAAAACAATTCTTGTGCTCTTTGTGTTTGTCTCTTACAATTGATAATTATATGAAGCGGTTTTATGCCTAAAGCGATATTACGTAAGAATATTTAATACAGACTTCCTTACCAGCCATATTGCATTAATTAAGAAAACCTACAAGGCACTTTAAGGTTTCAATTTCTTCCCGTCTCATCTAATAAATTAAGCAGTACTATGAAACTCAGCTACAAGGCTCTCAGAAATTAATTATAGAACTGATATTAACCAGGTCCAGGTTTGTGGGACAATTTATATGTATTAAAATAATGACTTGCACCTACATACCACCACAATCTCAACCGCCGTGGGACGGCAGCTGTAATTATGGTTTTATATGTTCACGCTGGGCGTATCTATAAAAAAAAAGCAATGAGAAAGAAAGTAACATGAAATATTCTTGTTCTTTTTTCTTTTAGATCAATGAAATATTTAGCACTCAGAAAGACATACTCGATGTAATCTTCAAACTTGCCGAGGCTGACCTATGGGATGTAAGTGTGTTCCGCTTGAGTATTACCTTCTTGTTTCAAGTGTCCGATTTCTGCAGCTAAACATCGAACCCCTGCAAGCCGAGTTGCTGAAAGAAGAACTCAAGAAATATTCAACGACTGTAGACGCTGAATGGAGCAAAAGACACCCCGATGTGCCCATTAGTGCTATTCTCTATCTTACCACGTGAGTTTCTCAACATTGTTTTACTTTATATAAAACGCAAGGTACTGAGATGATGCTAAACTAGTTTCCCTAAAAAAAAGCGGCAGCTTAAAATTTTTTATTCTTCATTAAATCTTTTAAGTCGTTTCTATTCTCCGTCGCATGAACGCTGCCAACTTGGAATCACGTGACGGGGCCGCCATTAGGTTGCTCCCCCGTACGAAAATGTCAGATTCAGGCCGGAATGAAAAAAGCCGGTTCCGCCTAGACCAAAAATTGGGGAACCAGTTTGTATCCAGCCTGGAACCGCGCACTTCCAGCCTTAATTTTAAACCCAGGTGGTGCACCGCCGGAATTCCCGCTGCGCTCACCACTGGACTCTAAAAAAGAATTTCGTGTTATGCCCTTAGCCGTTGCAACCGAGAGATTGTCGCGATTTCAGACCCAGGCGGACTGGGTCTGAAATCGCGACGATCTCCCGCTTGTAACGGCTAAGGGCATCGCACGAAAGACTTTTGTAGAGTCCAGCGGTGGGCGCAGTGGTAATTATGGCGGCGCACACGGTCGTCCAGGTGTCGTCGCGTCGTCATTAAACACAGTGCACGGAACACACACAGAGCACACACAAGCACAGTATCCAGTGTTGAGTGCATCGGGAAGTTCCGGCGGGCAAGCGGCATCCGAGTTGTCCAAGTATTGTCACCAAGCGCACCAGCGCATCCAGATGCCGAGCCAAACTGCAATGGGTCGGCAGCTTCACACTATATAAAGATTCAAAACCGAGGTCAGTGGGTATCCTTCCAGGGAACGATGGGTGTGTCAGTATCCGTCTGCCTGCAGCGCGAACGTCACCGCCGGCCGGAAGCCCGGCGGAAGCTGAGAAGAACCGAAACTCTCGAAGCGCTGCCGCTGACTGCAATAGACAATGCAAGGCGCGCGTCATCGCCAAACACGGTGCACGTAACACACACACACAGCACGCACCAGCACAGTATCCAGTGTTGGATTGCATCGGGAAGTTCCGGCGCGCAAGCGGTATCCGAGTTGTCCAAGTATTGTCGCCAAGCACTCCAGCGCCAAGCGCATCCAGAAGCCGAGCCAAAGTGCAATGGGCCGGCGGCTTCACACTAAATAAAGATTCAAAGCCGAGGTTAGTGGGTATGCATCCATGGCAACGATGGGCGCGTCAGTATCCGTGCGCCCGCAGCGCGAACGTCGCAGCCGGTCGAGCGCCGACCGAACGTGCGACGAGAGCGATGGAACAAACTAAACTGACTCGGAGACAAAGCCAGGCTCGTGCAGCCTTGGCCGTTGAAACGCACTCGAGGAGCAAGGGAGAGAGGAGGAAGAAAAAAAGGAGACTAAACAAGAGAGGGTGCGCCACGCTAGAAGGTGCCGAATTTCTTATTACAGTCGAACGTTCCTTTTCGGAGTGGTTTATAGAACGCCAAACGCACCAGTAGAATTTTTGGATGGCTTGAATGAGTTTTTGTGCACATATATATAAATGATACAACCAAGGTAATCATGACTGGAGATTTTAATTTGCCCCATGTAAATTGGGCTCTTTTCACAGCTGGTGGCATTGATATCCTTAACGGAGAAAAAATAATTGACATAACGTTTAATCACAACCTTACCCAAATAGTCAAGGAATACACTAGAATCACCGACCAGTCTCAGTCAACATTAGACCTTGTCTTTATTACAGAAAACATATCGGATTACGAGATTTCAATTGTAGAAGGAATTTCAGACCATAAAATGATTTTGTTTACGATTCCACTACCACGACAGGGTCATTGCAGGGTTGCTAGGCCCCTAATTGTTAAAGACTTTACTCGCGCAGACGATACAAGTATTATAGATTACTTAGAGACATCCTTAGAAACATTAGACAAACTAAGCATTGCAAGTACAGTAGATGATCTGTGGAATTTTTTTAAAACTACTACTTCCTTTTGCAATAATTCCTTTGTTCCCAATAAAACTAAAAAGACATATCGCACAAATCCCTGGATAACGCGTGAAGTTATCCGCCTAAAACGTAAAATCAAAAGGCATAGAAAAGTTTTAAAGAACATATAAATGCTCTAAAAATTAAATTAAAAACATCACTCAAACAAGCGAAAGAGAGATTCTTTTCAGTGACTCTTCACAACTTTATAAAAACTGCCCCTCAAAAATTTTGGCGTTTCTTAAAGGCGGGCGCTCAAAATTTTCTTCAGCGTGGCAGAAGATTCCCCCTCTTTTCTTTTTTCCTCCTCCCCTTTCCTCCTCCATTTTCCTCCTCGCTTTTTACGGCCTTCTCGCACGACTGCTAATGGGCTTACCGGCCCCCCGACAAAATCTCTGTCACCCTTCAAGGTTCTCTGCTTCAATACCAAACACCAGGGATTAGTTAGGCAAGCTGGATATGAGCTCGGAAGGGTTCGGTCTGGCTCGCTTTTCTTCTTTTTTTTTTTTGCTCTTTTTTTGCATTTGCAAAAAACACTCAGATAGTCAACACCAACTAGCCCAACAACAAGTTCTTTTACATTCTGATACTTCCGCATGCGGCCACACACTCTACAACACCGCATATTTATCTCGAGTGAACGGAACTTGAACATCACAGCAGAAGGAAAAAAGATGGGTATTTTTATCCGAACTTTTAGCTCTACCCAGAGAGTTAAAAATGTGTCGTTCTAACAACGGCACACTGAAGAGTGATTTTATCACTATAGTGTCTTTGTTTTGTTTTATGTACAAACTAATAATAAAGAGTAATAACAAGTCAAAGATATTGCAGTCAGAGGGACACAGTCTGACCATTTCTGGGGCATAATATATAGGTTCGTACTACAGGTGCTTTCTAGAGTGACGGCCGCCTCGTTGAAGCTACTAAGAAGAGTAAAAACAAACTTCCATAAAAACTGAAACGGTTCATGGTATATTTAATCTATCTTCGGCCTTTGAAAAAAATTTCTTCGTGGCCAAACGTGCATTTGGTTTCTGTCAACAAATGTAACTGAAAACTTGACACCCGTCAAGTTTTCTGTGCGTATCAGCACAGAGAACGGGAAACACGAAGATTGAACCGAAAAATCACAATTTTCTTCGCGTAAAACAGTGCAACTAGCAATAGTAGCATATTATGCCATTTATTAAAAGACAGCAGGTATTACGAAGTTTTCATTCTCTTCTGTTCGCATTTGTTCGCTGATGAAGAAATGGAATGCCCAGATAGCCTCTGCAGCCCTTACATAATTGTTTGGGGCTTTGTCAGGGTGGGCGAAGGCCATCTCCAAAAAAAACCCAGGAGTTCGGAAGGTGTGCTACCGCAAGTTTTAGGGTTGGTCGGCTAATTTAGGCGTCTGGCGTTCCCCGCCTACTTAGAAAAGAAGCGGAACAGCGGTCAGCTCAACGTCGTCACCAAGCGGGAAATCATACCGAAATGTGTCCTTGAACACGTTCGAGATCTTTACCCGAACCCAGCCGGGATTCGCCACAATTCATCTACGAAAAAAAAACTATAAAAAGGGGTAGGCTTAAACGATTTGGCAGTTTTTGAATATAATCATGCGGACTAACTGTCCACAAGTACGGAAAGAAATGCGGTAGAAATGCAGAGCGCTATTGTGTTCTTTTCGTCCATACTTGTCTTTCGCGCTGTACGCCAATTAAAATGAATTCTGCAATATCTGTAGATTATGACTGGTTATGTTGTTTTTAAAGAAAAGTAATCAAGCAAGCTCGGTATCGTGCCACCAATTTGGGCAAATACAATTTTATGTGGAATTCAACGTCAAAACAGTACTTCCGCGGGAAATAATGCATCCGTCGTTCTTCGTCTTCCTGAAGCTATGAACTACCGATCTCGGCTACAGGACTTTTGGGTCCACAAAATATCACGCTCAGTAGAATATTCGCCTTTTCTACCAAAAGTACTGGAAATTATTTATTTTTCAAACAGGTCGGGTGGTGATGCGTGTTTGAGTGTAGGACCGTTGACTGGGCACTGGTTTCCGCCAAGAGTGCAGTGCTTCCTTTCATGCTGCCCGCGACGAGTGTTGAAATTTGAATATAGTAGAAATGAAATCAACTGACACCCTTAGAATTATTTAAACTTGCGCTTTCTTCAGGCATTAAGATTTTGATCGTACCTTTTATTCATTGTCGTCTTGGATAAGGGAACAACTTGCCGAGGAGGCCGCGCTGTCCGCATACGCGGCTTGACAGATAAGGTCGCGAATGCTTTTCACGAATCTTTAAAGACCAAGCATAAAAATAAAAGATGCAGCCACTTTACGCCAATGAAACCAACTTTATGTTTTGGGCAGACGTCTTGCGAGAGTTGCAGCATTTTAATTATGCCTAATAAATTAAATGTTTAGGACTAAGTACCAAACTTTTTTAGATGTATTAGGAACCAAAATGTCAATTGGAAAGTTCTAGAGCTGCTTGAGAAACACCCGATTAGCTGTTTGCAACGTGATATACCGCTTGCGTGGCTTCCTTCTGACTAGTAATAAAGCTTATGAAACATGACAAAATATCCCGTGATAAAGCGCCCTCCCCATCATAAACTCAATTTCGAATGTCCCAAGATTTGTCTTTATAGGCCGGAAAAAAAAAAGAGATGCATGCAAGAGCGTGCCCCACGCTTTATTTATATCAGAAAAGAACTTCCCTCTGTTTTATATACAACGTTTATTGTGTTTTTTTTTTTTTCACCTACTAGATATTAGAAAAAAACGTGGAAATTAACGTTTTGTGGATGTGAGCTATACGGCCAGGCGAAGATTGGGTTCAAGAAAGAACGCAACAAAAACCGACTGATTACCTAACATTTCTTAATGACCTTTTTGATTATAAAAGGAAACGGAATAGCTGATTTATAAAGTTGTTGGGCGTAATCGAAAGCCACCAAATAGTCTAGTGAAAATTGGCACCATTGCGGTTTGTGTAGGTGAGCTATACGACTAGGCGAGAATTAGGTTCAATAACGAACGCAACTAAAACCGACCGATTGCCTAAAA